GAAACTCGGAGCACAAGGAAGAGAAAATCAGCCGAATATCAAAGCAACCAACTCAATGACAACGAGGATGGGGGTCGTACGGAGTTGGACGGTACTCCGGTCAAACGTTCAGGGCGCAAACGTCAAGAGACCCAGAAATCCCGCGAAGACGACGTACCACCGCCCAGCCCAGTGGACGAAGACAGCGTTCAACATCTACCTCTTTCACCGACCCAAGACAACACATACGCGCCAAATCCAGACACTGAGAACAATTTCGTGCCTCTCGAAGGCGACGAAGATTACATGCCTGAAGCTCCTATCCAAGCTCCCACCCAAGCACCCAAGAAGAGGGGCCGAAAGAGGAAAGAAGCAGTCGTCGAAGATGAGGTCGACGAATTCGTACCCGAGACCAATCCGGTGTCTGAACCAGTTGTAGAGCAAGAGCCTCCGACCAAAAAAAGACGGGGCCGTCCGCGCAAATCCGCCCTACCAGACCCCGACATTCCGGCTCCAGAGCTTCCGAATGGCGACGGTATAGAGCCTCCTGCGCCTCCGCCCTCAACAGCAAAGCCAGGAAGGAGGGGAAGAAAGAAGAAAGAAGAGGTTGCGAAGTCGCCAGAATACGTGGTGGAGGAGGTAGAAAAAAAGGTTGAGCCTGAACCTGAAGCCGATCCAGCTTTGGGGGAAGCGTCGCAGAACTCCCGACTCTCCGCACGCAAGACGGAGATTAACGCAAGCGATGATGATGACGATGATTACGATATCGATGGCGACACGAAAGAAAATGAAACGTCGACAAAAGCAGTAGTCACGCCACCGAAGGCGGAGGTTGTTGAGAAGAAAGAGGTGAAAAAGGCAGCGCCGGTCATCAGTCAGACGGCAGCGCCCAAGGTTCCGCTTCGCGTGGGTTTGAGCAAGAAGTCGAGGATCGCACCGTTGTTGAGAATTATACGGAAATGAAGGGATTGGAGCGCAGGCTAGTCACACTTTGGGGCGTCGCATCTATGAGGTCAACTGGAAGACGTGCACTCAGGTGGTGATGCCATTTTGACACATGTGGCTTGACACTCAATGTATAATTACTCAAGTATTGACCTCGCTACCGCAGCTGCTTCGTGAAGTGGCCGGAAGGCGGCTTCATCAGTCAGCGAGAACCAGTGGATGTTTGCCGTTGCAACGCACTCAGGAGTTCCATGCACAGTCTACGCACTGAGGCCATCGTTTGAGTCTCCACATGTTTTCCAGATGTGCTGACATCACTCTCGCAGCCCCGCATCTCAGGGGCTAAGATCAACAACACGCCGCTTCAGGGACCACCCAACAATAAGGCCCAGTGGTGTAGTTGGTCATCACGTCGTTCTTATAATTGCATTTGCGATGCAATTTATGCGAAGGTCCTGAGTTCAAGCCTCAGTTGGACCATGAACCCCTTTTTGCATCTGAGCTATGTGCTTTCTACGTTGATGGCAGCCGCCCGATGCCGGCGATGGTGGGGTGCACATGTGGGTCTCAACGGGGTGAGAGTTGAGGCTCAACCTGGAAGGAGGGGACCTGCAATTTGTGATTGAGGTCCGCGAATACATACAGGCTCCTTGAAAAGGGCAGAGTCGTAAAAGCAACCGCCTCTGGAAGGGATTATTGATAGAAGTGGTCATTGAGATTACTGCTGCCTCGGTGGGCAAGTCCTAAGGAAGGCGGCAAGGTGAACTCGGTGAGCCGCGGCCCCGAGAATTACCCACCCCCGACATGCGTCATCCGTCTTCCAAACACACCGAGGTGACGGCTAAGTCATCAGTTTCACTTCAACCTCCATGGCACCACATCACATTGGCGACGAGCACGGCCAGCAAAGATGGTCCCGACCGTTTGGCAAGCAAATGCTCTCCTTCCCTCCCAATCGTCTGGAAACCCCTCATTCTCCGCATCGTCTCCGCCGCCAACCGGCACTGGTCGGAGGGGGTTAACTGGGTTAACTGAAGATGGGAACGCCCAGCCGCGGTCGACATCCATCTGCCGTGGGGTCACCTGGTAACCGCGCGCAGGGAGGCGCTGGGAAAAGGGAAAATGGGTTCCGGGTATTATCGAGGTGTTGCCAACGGGCGGCAGCAATACTGCCAGCCGAATGGACAGATGCCAGTGCTCCTCGGCGATTTTTGTTTCATCAAGAAGAGGACAGACAAACAGACGCCTCGGCGCACATGCATGCGAGGAACTTTTTGAGAGGTAACGGTGCATGATCATCAGGCAAAGTCGAGGAAGGATTGATCTGACTTATCTGCAGTTCGATAAGAGGTCGTTGCTTCCCCCTTTTTGTGACGGTCTTTGGTTTCTGGTTTCCCACCCTCGCCAAGTCAAGCGATTGAGGAGGAACCTTGGACTTGACTTCACGTTTGCCGCCTACCTACCGAGAGCTGGAAAAGCGCAGAGCAGCCAAGATGCAGCCGCAGTTCTTCAACGTCATCAACGATGAGCTGCGCGGCAGCGAGAAGACGGCCACAGTGACCAACCCCCGGACCGAGGATGAGCTGTGGCCGTGCCCGGTCGCCTCGAACGAAGACTTCGAAGATGCTGTGGTCGCGGCCCGGAAGGCCTTCACCACGTGGGGGAAAAGCACCGTGGCGGAGAGGCAGGCCGCTCTGGTCAAGATGGCCGACGTCCTCGAGGAGCATGTTGACGAGCTTGCTGATATCCTGTCCCGGGAAACGGGCAAATCTGTACAAACCACCCCGCTCCACTTCCCCCGTCTCAAGCATTAATATGCCGCGCAGGCCATCCTCGCCAGCCTTGACATCCGGGCGTCCATCGCGCAATGCCTCTACTACTCCAAGACCGCCCTCGAGGACGAGGTCCAGTACGAAGACGACAACACGCGCGTCGTCGCCACGCACATCCCCCTGGGAGTTGTAGGTGCCATCGCACCATGGAATTTCCCCGTCATCCTCGCGAACATCAAGGTCGTCTCCAGCCTTATCACCGGCAACTGCGTCATCGTCAAGCCATCCCCTTTCACCCCGTACGCCGTCATGAAATGGGCCGAAATCTCCCGCGGAATCCTCCCCCCCGGCGTCTTCCAGGTTCTCAACGGTGGCGCTGACCTTGGTGCTTTGATGACCCTCCATCCTGGAATTGACAAGATCTCCTTCACCGGCACCACCGCCACCGGCAAGCGCGTCATGGCAAGCTGTGCCAAGACCCTCAAGAAAGTCACACTCGAACTCGCCGGCAACGATGCCTGCATTGTCTGCCCTGACGCCGACCTGGACAAGACCATCCCCTCCGTGGCTAGCGGCGGATTCTTCAATGCGGGCCAAGTCTGCGTGGCGAGCAAGCGCATCTACGTGCACGAGAGCATCTACGATGAGTTCCTCGACCGGCTTGTCGCCGAGGTGGAGAAGTCGTACTCTGTCCAGGAGGATGCCGCCGCGCCGTCGGTGTTTGGGCCCGTCGACAACAAGGCGCAGTTTGAGGTGGTCAAGGGGATCATCGAGGACTGCAGGAAGAACGGGTACAAGATCGTCAAGGGGGGCAAGACGACCACCGCGAGCGCCAATGGGAAGGGGTTCTGGCTGGAGCCGACGATTGTGTCGAGGCCGCCTGAGGACTCGTGGCTCGTGAAGGAGGAGCAGTTTGGTCCGATTCTGCCCATCTTGTCGTGGACGGATGAAGATGATGTCATCAAGAGGTCGAACTTGGCGAATGCCGGCTTGGGTGCGTCGGTGTATTCGACGGATTTGACGCAGGCGGAGAGGATTGCGAGAAAGCTGGAGTCAGGGAGCGTGTGGATCAATCAGTCTGAGAGGCCGAACTTTGGGGCGTTCTTTGGAGGGATCAAGGACAGTGGGTATGGAGGTGAGATGGGGAAGCAGGGGTTGTTGAGCTATAGTTACACTCAGGCGTTGCACTTTGCGAAGTGAGTGTCTTGGGGGTTGGGTAAGGGATTCAGAGAGGGGAAGGATGGGGAGGTCAGATTGTGAATGATGTCTCTTCTGCCGTATCCAGTACCTATGTGTCTTCAACATCAGATTGCCAGCTTTGGATGGTCAGTGGCGAAGTCTAAGTCTGCGCAGGTGGAAGTCCGAATATCATGGAATTTATGAACAACATGCTGAATCTTATAGATATTTCTTCTCTGCTAGTCGTGTCCAAGGAACTATATGGCTGACAACAAACCACTTACACCCAAAAATGAGGCCAGCCCCAGCGGATACGCCCCTGACGGCACTCGACCTTGAAAAGTGGGTACTTCATGCACCCTCATGCAAGCAACCACAACTCTGCAGCCACAACTTCGCACCCATAGAATACAGGCAAAAATATAAGCTTGCGGTTTATGTGGATCGAACACATGACCTTCAGATATCAACGGTGTTGACAAGAATGAAGTAATTCTTCAGTCTGACGCTCTCCCAACTGAGCTAAACCCGCTTGCTTGATGTTTACCCTTTTTTTGGTTGACGCTTATGGAAGGTGCGACTGCGCACTTTGCTTGCCGGAGCCCCTGAGTATAGTGCGATATCACTGTTTTTGGGGTATGAAAGGGGTAGACGGACTTCTACGAAAACAACACAGACAAAGTAAAGATGGTTGGTAGGGGAAGATGCGATGGCTGGTATTGGGGGATGGGGGTTTCTTTGGAAAGTGCATGGCTGTGAAGCGCCGTTCTGCAAAGGCCAACAGACACCTTTTCCAACTACTAATGGCCGTCCCCTGATGCACTTCGTCTTCGTCACCAGCGTAACTGACGCCAAGGGGCTTCATTCGGGCTGTTTTTGACAACACCCCAGGCATCATCACCATCTCGACCTTGGCCATGGATAACACTGCGAGCAAGAACCATGACTCGGACAGCCAGGGGCAGCTGTGCGAGAGCCCCCATTCCCAAGTCCACACACCGAAGCTGGCTCCCCCTCTGCCTCCACAGGTATGGAGTTTCACCAGGCAAGACTCCATCGAGAATGGCCCTCTCCTCTCATCCTGACCTATTCATCTACGATATGCATCCACAATAACATCAACAAGCGGGTTTAGCTCAGTTGGGAGAGCGTCAGACTGAAGAATTACTTCATTCTCGTCAATATCCATCATGGATCCTTGATATCTGAAGGTCATGTGTTCGATCCACATAAACCGCAAGTCTTTCTTTTTGCCCCTGACAGTTCCGTATGGCGATAGTTACTTGAGTGGGGTCTGTGTGTGGGCTTCGTTTTGTAGGTCGGGGTGGGTTCTACGATGGGAGAATCGTGTCGGGATGCGTTGCACGATGCAGAAGGTTCTGTGTTTCTGAAGGACAGCGATTTATTGCGGAGTTGCTACGCTGCTCGGACCACGCGACATGGTGTGTTGTGTCTTCGTACGGCGAGGAAACTACTATTGTCTATCGAGGATTCGCTCGGTGCATTTACTGGAGTGCTTGCTGCTCCGGCGGGAACATCAGATGGGGCGTGTTTCCACAGGCTCTCGAGTGTTGGGTCCTGGGGCGGGTGTCGAGGCGTTACTCGGAGGCGAAGCTCGAATACTGGCGCGTTGTGGTCTGCGCTGTGGCAAGGCAACACCACGGGGTGTATTCCTTTCGACCTCGGTTTGCTACTGGTTAGTAGAGCGTTTAGACAGCCATTGTGTTGTCCAAGTCTATCGTTGTGGATGGCGAAGGGACGAGACACCGAATGCTCTCGCTCCTGGAACTGCTAACTGTTGGAGACAACAGATGGAAAAGCCAGCGCTCGCAGGACCAGGACAGAACCCTTCCCTCGAAACAAAGACTTCAGCCAGCGGTGCCAAGGGTGCTGGCCAATGTTGAGTAACAGTGTCAAGGACCCTTGGCTACCTGCCGACCCCTTTCCGACAACCCCCACACGGGCAAAGGGGGCTGGGACAGGCGCGAGCCACGGATCCAGCTGACCGAGGTGATCACAGACAAGCCCGCGGCGCTCCCTCGGCACAGAGAAAGCCAGTGGCCTAGATGGGGGTATTGGGACTCAGCTAATGCCGGTTCCACGGTGCTTGGTTCTGTTGATGCTTTCCGTCGGCCGACTCCGTGGGGGGAGAGCTGAGCATCTCCAGCTGAACAGGAAGCATACCCGCGCTACGGCGGTCATCTGCGCCTAGAAAATAGGAAGGAGCGGCTGCGGTGTTGACACATTGTTTCCACGGGGGCCCTTGATCTAAGGGCCAAGGGGGGTTGCAGACCCAGTATGGCGACAGCTGTGCATACACACCGGCCAGCCGACGTCCACGGGTGGCTACCGTCGGACTTTGCCAGCGAGAGATGAGGGACCAGTCGGTCGGGGCCTGGGCCGAAATGGCCGCCTTCTTTGGGAACTCTTTACGTTATTGTTCCTGAGTGCTGCGGGTTGGGCTCTCGGCTGTCTCCTCTCGCGTGGGCGACGGCGGAAAGGAGGGGGGGTGTCTGTTGCGATGGCACCATTTTGACCACCGATGGCATGGCCGGGTACAGGTTACATACGCCTCCGCGCATATTGGGAGACGCTGGAGCTTGAACGCACCTGCCTGTGCTGGAACATCGAAGGATGCATGGAGGCGCGAAATGGGGACTGGGTACGTAGTGCATGCATGCCGTGTTCGGGTGTCTATATTGAACACTGTGTAATGGTGATATGCAACGACATTCAAAATATTCAGAAATGATGAGCTATCGGATGTGGACGTCTGTTTGTCGCAAAGCTCCGTCTGGGCTCACCTTGTTTGTTGACGGGGGAAGAGCGAGGCACGGCCTTGGAGATACCAAGAAAAAATCTGGGGATCATTCTAGACCCTTCGAAGCAAAATGCCCCCCTTGAACCACAACCCCCCAAAAAACACCAACTGAAGCTCCATGATGCAAACACATTGATCCAACGCCCAGCAAAAGAAGAGCGTATAAAGTTATCCCAGAAACCAAAAAAAGGCTTCACCGTTCATCCCAATCCCCATATCCGAGCCAAGCCCATCACGCAATCCCGTCGCAGCAGCGCGAACACCCCAAAAAAACACACTCCAACCACACACACAGCTGGCCGGCGCAACAACAACACCACTCTTCCCCGCGTTCTCACCATCGATCCGATCACCAACTAGGATCAAGCCCCGATCTCACCTGCCGCAAACCCTTCAACTTTCTGCACGCACCAGGCCCCATCCGAACCCGAACGAATCACCAACCAGCCATTAGCTTCACCGGACCCTCACTCAACCCAACGCTTCACCAAACAAACCCACCACCAACCCGCGTGTATGACCCCCACCGGCTTCATCTACCGTCTCGCTCGACCAGCAGCAGCAGCATCAACCAGAACCAGATTCCTTTCACTTCCTCGCTATTCCCACTCCCCGCAGCAGATGACGATGATCCCCGCATGCAGCACCAGCAGCAGCAGTACCGCCGCCGCAGCACCAGCAGGAGCAACCACGGCCTCCGCACCAAGCACGTCACCGGCCCCCGGGAGCTCACCATCCACGGCCCAGGCTGCACCAGCACCAGCACCAGCACCAGCGTCAACCGGCGCGGAGCGCCTCTACCCCACCGTTGAGGAAGTTGCTGCTGCTGCTGCCGCTGCTGCTGGCACTAGTGAAACCTCCACATCGTCTTCAACGGCGGCTTCAGGCGCGGTAGATGCCCACGGCCTCCCGGCGCTGCCCGCACCCGGCAGCGGAGACGAAGCCACCACGGTTATTGAAGTCAATGGCGCCGCGGTGTCACTCGATAGCCTCGGCCCCATGGTGATTGGCCGAGATGGGACCGTTTCGCGCATCGCAAACTGGGCCGAGATGGTCGACATTGAGCGCAAGAACACGCTGCGCATCCTAGGCAAGCGGAACCAGCTGAGGCTAGCAAATCTCCGAGGGGAGGATGCACCAGATACAAAGCAGTAGAGCCGTTAGGTATACTGATTAAGAAGTCAATTTTTCGAGTTTCTTGCTGTACAGGCCAGGGGACTGCTTCACTTCAAGCGGTAGCAACAATATAGACAGCAAAAAAAATAAAAATAAACAGAGCCAAAATGCAAATGACATCCAGGGTATCCGTCAGAAAGGAAGCTCGTCTCTCCCGAGCATCGAAAACTCATTACATCATGAGTCGTCGCGTCGTGGATTCATCGACGTGCGTTTGGCTTTCTTCGTCTCCCTGTCCCCCCTGGAATCCGCCCCTCCCGGTTCCCCCCGCCAGCAAGTTACACTGGGCTTTGTCCTCACGTTTCGCCGTTAAATAGCACATAAAAATCAAAGTGGCCTCCCGCTCACACACTCAAAACGCCCAATCAATGATGGTATATTCCACGGTCCCAGTCCGAGCCGACCCCCCGCCGCCGGCTTCACTTAGTCTTTCCGTTTTGTCGACTTCTTGCTGTCCGATTCATCGGCGGCTGTGCTCGAACCGGTAGAGGCGCTGTCGCTGTCCTTGTCGTCGCTAGGCTTGACCCCCTGGGAAGAGAACTCCTTCAACAGCTTCTTCAAGATGTCGTCCTTCCCACCGTGCTTCTCCGTCACCAAGCTCTTGAGCCACTTGTTCTCCGTCTCGAGTGCTGAGATGCGTCCTTCCAGCGCGGTGACCTTGTCGGTCATCTCCTTGGCCGACTTCTCGAGGGCCTGCTCGCGCTGCTTCTTCTTGATGCGGAAGCGAGCGCTGGCGGCGGTGTTGCGTTTCCGCTTGTCCTCCTCGGCGGCAAGACGTGATGCTTCCTCGAAGCTCAACATGCGGCTGGGAGGGCTAATGGGCTCAGCTTTGCGCTTCTCCCCCCCTATCCGGGGGGCGGACGGTACATACCCTGGCTGGTGCTGAGAAACGGGCGGCGGATAGGCGGTCTGCGGGTTGGGCTGGATGGGCTGCAGGTTTCCAAGGCTGTCGGTGAAGGACGGAATGGTGGGCGAAGTGTAGGTGCTGCCAAAGTCCCCGAAACTAAAGTCGCCTGGAGCCATTGTGCCATGGTCAGCATGCGGAAAAAGACAAGATCGATTCAAAGCGAACAGAGACACATCACGAATTCAAGACAAAAGGACAGAAGGAAGAGCTGGTGCCGGAACCAGGACGGCAGCGTCGCCAATGAAAAGGGGAGGAGGCCCGGGCGGATTGAGCCAGATGCAAGGCGTGTCGGAATAGCCACTGTTGATGCCCCATGGCCGATGGTGCAATCGCCCGCAAGTCACGGGGAATGACACCATCTCGGGACCGTCGATCATTTGTCAGCGCCAGACAGGGCGCATACAGACACACCCCCAGGCGACGGTGCCTCGAGGGTGCTGCCAACGGCACGCAAAGCACAGCCAAGCCGTTCCCCAATCAAGACGAGGCCTAGAGCATGGGGGTCACTCCAGCCTGAGCGTCGACCGTGAGAACGTGGGAGTGGGGCAGCTCGCCCATCTCCCGATTCGCGATAAGGCGAAGGCTCCTCTTTGGTCTCTTTGGCCCCTTTCGTGGGCGTGCGCGCACACCGGCGCTGTGCGGTGCCATCCCCGAATTGTTGTTGGATTTCGGTGCTGCTCTCCCCGCAGGCACTTGCCTCGGTTGGGATCTCCATTTCAGGGTTCATCGATGACGACTTGGACTTCAGTGAAGGGTTGTGTGCGACCCATTGCCGACGCAGAACGAAAGGTGGGGAAAAGGCCTCAAACATGTGGTCGAGACCAGACATGCCCAAGATGAGACGGGGTAAAATAAAATTGAAAAACAAAACCAAAAATTGAAGCTTGAAAACCCAAAACGCAGGAATAGAACTCACTCGACATGAAATCGAGATTTGCGGAGAAGTCCTCCAATAGGGGGTCGGTGGGCGTGACGACATCTTCAACCGACGACGGGCGTCTTGCAACCTCAGGCTTCACGGCCGGCGCTTGGTAGTCCGTGCTCTGTCCTGTCTCGAAGTCGAGGAATTGCGTGTTGGTGAAGAGTGCGAGGTCCTTGGCGAGGTCTTCGTCCGTGAGATATGTCTCCTCCACAGCAGGCTCCGGCACGTTGAGGTTTCGGAGGTACTGGGAGACGTTGACTCCTCTGCCGTACGACATGGTGTCTCGCTGTAGGCCTGGGCGGGCGGGCGTCCTGAGCGCGCGATGCGTCTCTCTTAAAAATTTTTCGTTCGGTCGATTGGCCTGGCGGAACAGGAGTCCGGGGCGGAGCGGTCGGTGTAAATCCAGAGGCCGT